AGTAGAGTAGAGTAGAGTAGAGTAGAGTAGAGTAGAGTAGAGTAGAGTATGGAGCTAGAAGGGACCTTGGAGGTCTTCTGCCCTCTGCTCAGGCAGGAAACCTACCATTTCAGATTAATGACCACCTCGTTTCTTTTTAAAAACCTCCAGCACCTACAATGCCTGGTAGCAAGCTGTTCCACTGGTTAATTGTCCTCCCTGTTAGGAAGTTTTCCTTAATTCCAGGTTGCTTCTCTCTTTGATTATTTTCCAACCATTATTTCTTGTCCTGCCCTCCGGTGCTTTGCATTTTGGTCGGTGCTTTGCTGTTTTTCCTTTTTCTCAAGCAGCAGAAAGATCTTTGATCTTGGTCTATGACTGCAGAGGCAAATCAATCAATCAAAGGAAAGAAGCATTTCTCAGCTGCGATTTAACTCTGATCCCTGGGTTGATCTGCATTTTTCTTGTTTCCATGCAGGTCAAGTTTTGTCTGGGCTCCGTGCAGAAGACCATTCTCAAAGACTGGTTTCGCCTACTTCCTCTGCCCAATGCAGGAGAGGATGCTGGGTAAATAAGAAGTCGTCTCATGCGATGTTTGGGATTGGAGCACCCTTTGTTGACTAGTCAAAAGACTCTGTCTCATTTCGGAGACCTCTCAGTTATTTTTGTATCTGTTAGCTAGAGAGTTGCTGAGCCTATTAGATTAGAATTCTTTATTGGCCAAGTGTGGTCGGACACACAAGGAATTTGTCTTGGTGCAAATACTCTCAGTGTACATAAAAGAAAAGGTACATTCGTCAAGTGTCAAGAATCAATAAGGTTCAACACTTAATTATAGTCATAGGGTACAATAGTTCAGATTTAAAGGGATCTAATGAGAGATAAGAGGGATGCAGTGGCTCAGTGGCTAAAACGCCTAAGCTTGTTGATCAGAAAGTTCAAATCCCTAGCGCCGCGTCACGGAGTGAGTTCCCGTTCCTTGTCCCAGCTTCTGCCAACCTAGCAGTTCGAAAGCACATAAAATGCAAGTAGAAAAATAGGGACCCCTTTGGTGGGAAGGGAACAGCATTCTGTGTGCCTTCCGGGTTTAGTCATGCTGGCCACATGACCACGGAGACGTCTTCGGACAGCGCTGCCTCTTCGGCTTTTTAACGGAGGTGAGCACCGCACCACAGAGCCAGAAACGACTAGCATGTACCTTTACCTTTAATGAGAGAGAGTTTGGTGTAGCAGTTCAAGAAGCCAGACCAGGAGTAGGGAATGATTGAGCTCTAGATCTCTGTTAGGTGCCAAGCCAGTAGAATGACTTTTAGCAAATCCCTCTTTGACTCAGGAAGAAAGCAGAGGCAGGTCATTTCTGAAAATATTGCCCAAAGCTCATCAGCAGCAATTTTAACACGTGGATTTCACTATTCCTTAGCCAGTACAAGACAACTTCAATTCCCAGAGTTCCCCATCTTACATAGGGTTAGGGTTAGGGTCCATTGGATTCTTGAAGTTGAAGTCCACTCACCTTAAAGTTGCCAAGGTAGAGAAGTCCAATCATAAGTTTCTGAAAAAGGTTGAAAAGTCAACTCAATGTAATGTTCATCAACATCCAGTTCCTGATTTTAAACTGTTGCCTTCCTTTGTAAAACTCTCTTTGCAAAGCAAAACATGCCAGTTAGATGTAATGTTGACCTCTGCTCTGCTTGCAGGGATAAACTGGGTCAGCTAAGATTGCAGGTTCGGCTTGCTGAAGACAGGATCCTGCCTTCCAGCTGTTATCAACCCCTGATAGACCTCCTTGTGGAATCTGTCTTGTATCCTCCAGAGGTGGGAAGTTGAACAGAACCTATAAAAAGATGAACAATTTTGGCTGGATTTTTTAATGTGGGGAGAAAGGGGGATTATAAAAAGAGACATCCTAAGTATGGGACAAAATGAATGTGAATAAGACAGTAAGCCATGGTTGTTTTTAATTGTGGTTTGTTGGGTAATTCACATTGGCTGGGCACCTAGGAAACGAAAAGCTATCAATTATAGCTTAAAAACTATAATGGATCTGGATTCACACCTAAGGTTAAACCTCAATCAGAAAAAAAATTACATTAGGCTTAGCATGATTCTAAACCCAATATAACAGCCAACAAACTAAAATAACAATATTTCTTTACATAGATTGCATTTCAAAACAAGAGTTGTTCATTTCCAGTTTTAGTATCAATTGCCGCAGTGCAAACAGGAAAGAACAGAGTTTTCTCCATATAGGGATAATTTGAGATTACAGGACCTTGGAGAGCTCCCTGGGAATGCAGGAGTTGCTCTTGAGAAATCCATCTCAAGTCTGAAGTTTTGAGAGGTCAAGAGGGATTCACATCGATTATACACATCGGTGTGAACTTTCAAGTTCAAAGTTGGTTTGATCCGATTATTATTTGAAGTCAAACCTTCAGATCGGTGCATTGGATGCCTTTGAACTGACTCAAAGATTGGACAGGCTTTGCAGATCAACATGTCTAATTGAATCAATCCGATCATCTGAAGCACAACGTTGAAAGAAATCGCAAACGGAAACTATTCAATTATTTGAACTGAATTGAAGATTCCAATTAGACCTTACTTGATTTACGCAGTAATGGGTCCATCTCATGATGAATACATACAGTTCTACTTCTCCATCAACATCCTCAGCCAAATGATTGAACTCAAGGCCTTTTGCTATATCAGGAAGGTCTGTGTAGGTTTTCAATTATCATACGTGTGTGTGTACGTTAGTGATAGGTATTGTGCTACTCTGCACAGGAGGCAGATGACCTCACCCCACTTGCCCTTCTGGAAGAAGTATGTTTGGTGGAGAGTCGTCAAGATGTATCCATCAAGCTTGTCAAGATCTTCCTTGGGCAAGGCTTGGTTATACCTTTCTTGGATTACCTGAATTTCCATGAGATTTCAAGAACAAGTAAGTGCCTTCAAATATCAAATTGTATTTCACTAGTGTGATTCAGGAACTTGGCCAGAAAGTTGACCAAGGTTGTGACCAACTACTTTCTGCAATAGATGAGCGGGACTGAGGGGGGGAGGGTTTGGGTGTGTGTGTGTGTGTGCGTGTGTGTGAATCTATGGGAAATGATGTATTTATTTTATTTAAGAAAATTTGTATAGCTGCCTACTACACTCTCAGTGTCAATGCCAAACGCAATCTTGGAACGATGATCACGGGCGTCGCTTACTCATCTTCAAATAATTAGAGGAGAAAATGTCACGTTCCTCCGTGTTTTTTTTCTTTTCCAGAGGATCCCAACACCCTCTTCCGTTCCAACTCGCTGGCCTCCAAGTCCATGGAGCAATTTATGAAGGTGAGCGAGGAGCAGTGAGAACGTAAGAGAGGGCGATTAGGATGGAGAGAGTTGAAGCAGAAGGATCAGTCTCAAAAAATTGCTAGAAAGAAAGATAATGCCGTGAATTGTGGAATCTGTTCCAAATTGAGGGTGCCAGGTTTTTCTCTAGTTTGATTTCCTATGCCAATTGTTTCTTTTTTTGGGGGGAGGAGGGTTAGAATGGGATAAAGCTGGATGCCAACTGTGTTGCCATGGTGGAGAAAAGGGTGCGCCAGGTGGCAAACATCCCACAATAAGATACGGCAGCGCAGCCCTTGTGAACATGTTTAATTGTACCCTGGGTTACCGATGGTCACGATGTGGTCAAACTGAGCTGCTTAGTAATACGTTATCCCGTTTTGTAGAGGACCCTCTGTTTGTCTAGAATATCAGTTTAAAAAATTGCCATAACATGCACTGACAGGAGGTGTTTGTAAGGTCCGATGAAAGCTTCGATAGCTCAAGGACAAAACAATGTTATTGGATCTTGAACTTTATACTGCACTGGTGAGGTTACTCTTAAAATACGGCATCCAATTTTGGTTGCCAGGATGTAGAAAAGATGTTGAGACTCTAGAAAGAGTGCAGAGAAGAGCAACAAAGAAGATTAGGGGACTGGAGGCTAAAACGTATAAAGAACGGTTGCGGGAATTGGGTATGTCTACTTTGATGAAAAGAAAGACTAGGGGAGACATGATAGCAGTCTTCCAATATCTCAGGGGCTGCCCCAAAGAAGAGGGAGTCAAGCTATTCTCCAAAGCACCTGAAGGAAGGACAAGAAGCAATGGATGGAAACTAACCAAGGAGAGAAGCAACCTAGAACTATTGATTGATTGATTGATTGATTTGATTTGATTTGCCAATTGCTTACAAGAAATAGATATAAGAATAAACAGGAGTATGAATACAGGAACTAGGTATGAA